AGCATAGTTATGTAAATGTGTTAACACTTTCTAAAAACAAAAAATTTTCCAAAATCAGCATAGGCTACATCAAAAAAGTTGAATAGAACCATCCCCTCGCATTTCATGTTACACATTCATGTAATCGTACTAGTACAAATTCATGTGCAATTTACATGCTACGGCTCATGTGGCATAATAAATTAGGTAACAGTAAGAACTTTTCTATCGGTCATTTACAATACTTGTAAATTTCTCTTGTATGTTTGATCTAAAGTTTTTATTTAAATATTTTATGAAAGTTGTATATAGTATACTTGTATTTAATGCTATGTATAAATCTTTCTATTGATATGATTAATATTCTTGCCCTGCCTAATTAAAAAATAATAATAATTTATATTTTTTTTTGTTTTTTTGCGGTACATCTTTTTTGGGCCTTCTACATTTAACTTGGTTTAAATGCCTTTTTTTGTGAGTGGCAACCATTTTTGCTGTTGGGAAATACTTTTCACAAATGGAGCAGAAAAGCTTTTCATAATTTTTAGCCACAGAAGGACAGTGCTCGTTATAATCTGGAATTTTATCTATATCAAGATATTCCAGTAAATGTATTGAGTTAACATAATGGCCATCATTTCTCTTTACAGGGGGAAGAAAGCCATTATTTGAGGCGAGAAGGCTAGCAGCCTCCTTGCACTATTTAGAAGGCCAGTATCTGATATTATTACATTTTTTTACATCTAGAGAATATCTACAAATCTTCACATGGACTTCTAACCATTCCCAGATTATAACATCTGAAGCTCGGGTACTTTCTGTGTCGATGTATTCAGTCACGACTAGCTTTCTGAAGATTTGATCTCGCTTTCACAGATTACAAAGAATGTTACCTGTATATTCGAAATTTTTTTTTGCCAGCTCCAGATCAATAACATTATCCTGTGAGTTAAGGTGTCATATTTGTTAACAGGCAGGACTATGCCTGCAAGTTTTTTGGAAAGGGATATTATACCCCTCTCAACAGGGTTATATGCTGAATGATCTAGAGTAATTTAATAGAATAAACAAATGCTTAGTTAAATAATTGCTTAATATTTACTAGAAATTGTAATTTTGATCAAGTTGATAATAATTTTATTCGATCTAGATCACTAACCTGGAGCATAAGTTCTAACAGTAAAATAATTGAGGTCAAATGAGCAGAACATTCGGCAATACTGTTTGATGTTTTCTAAATATCTGGGGTTCTTATCTGGGCCTCCATCTACAATAAGAACCCAAATAGGTTTGATTTCATCATCAGACTTCAAAATATTGTCAAAACTAACATTATTTACTAATGAATATAAGTCTTCATATGAGTAACAAAGCTTGATAACTGGTCATTACGAAGCATGTTGTTGGTGTCACTAGGATCAATGAGAAGGTAAACAGAGGGAACAAGCTTCTTTCGTGTGCCAACAGAAAAATCATGATCTGTGATGATGACCAGCTCGGTATTACTTTGTAGAGTTCGGAAGCTCTGACCTACTACAAGAATACCGAGAGGGATCTTGGCTTTGTCATCTTGTAACACAATTACAGCCAAGGTCAGAAAAAGGGAGACTAATTGTCTTGCCGCCTTTATAGAGACAAAACAATAATGCTTATTTTCATGTTCTTTTCTTTCATTTTTTGATACAGATGCGACCTGAATAAGTATTATTAGCAAGTAGAAATTAACAAAGTATAAAGCATATTATTATTGATTTTTTAATGTTAAAAAAAATGGATAATATTTTTATATTATATAAACATAGAGTACGAATTATATTACTGACCTGAACATTTGTCGAATGATGGTGTTTTTTTGCTTCTATTGAGGTTGTATGACATGGCGAAAGGTAACCACTCACAGCAGAGCGAAAGAGATGTTTGTTATATTTTGTTTTTAATTCTTCTTTTAAATGACTCACTGTTCGAACCTTTTCTCCTTTTGCTATCAGCAGCCCCGAACTCAATGCTTTCGTAAATGTGATCTAGTAAGTTCGGGTACTTGTGTAGCAAAGGAGGGCACCCAGGTGAGTCATACTTCACAACCTGTTGATTTTCTGTTAAATCCTTGTCTTTTTCTCTTTATATTTACGCTGGCAGGTAGCGTTTCATTTTAGGATTTGGATTTTCTTGTCTTCTGCATTAAGAACGTGTTTAAGGCTATTTATTTAATCCATTAGCTCATGCTGAGTCTCTTGATCGATTGTTGAGTTATAGGCCTTTTGGCACTCTGTAATTTCATTATTTGTTTTAACAATGGTCTCTATTGCCTTCTTTTGCACTGCAGCATTTGGTGGCACTGTATTAATAGTAACTGCTTCCTCAAATACTCGATTTTGAATTGGAATAGCAGCATTTAAAATTTCAAGAGGATTTAGGTATTGAATAGTAGTGTCAGCATTTGTAATTAGGTGTTCTATAGAATTTTTAATTTCATTCTTAGGTTTATTTTTAATTTCTTTCCAAGCATTGTTAGATTCTTTACACACAGTTTCTTTCAGATATTTTGGATCCTTGTCACTGACCATTCAATTGTATACAAATGCATTACAGAATTTTTGATATTTGTTAGTCAGTTTTTTGTAGATATAACATCTATCATATTTCGAAGTAATTGGGTTTTGCATTTTTATTAGAGTGTAGAAAAAGAGAGAAAAAGAATTAATGGAAAGAAGAGAGAAAGAAATCGAAAAGAGAATGGAGAAAATAACCAAGACTGAAGAAAGAGAAAATCTGAACAAAAAGAAAAACTGAAAATGCGAGAGAGAAAGAGAAAAAAGAAAACTGAAAAGAGAATAGAGAACAAACAAGAATGGCAAGAAAAAGAAAAATTTATTAGAAGTTATTAATTATCAAAATATTCAATCAAATAGAAATTAGAGCTATGGTCTGAATTCGGTCATATTTATAATGAATATACTAACAATTTGCTATAAGTTTTTTAATTATTTGAAATAGAAGTTTGTGCAAGTATGAAGTGATTCTTTACAAGTTCAAAAGGTAGTTATAACAATATTCGGCTTATGTCTTTAATATATTTCATTAATTAAATTTTATATTTAATGCTTTTGGGAAAATTCGTTTTATTAAAATTTTATTATTCCTTAAAATACTATAGAAGCAGTGCCACTGATTTATATTTGATACTTCTAGAAAAATTTAAGTACAGGGTATTACGGGTTATCGAACAATTTACTTGCTGCACAATTAGCAACCCGTGCACTCCTGTACATTTATTAAATTTCTTAAAATGGTTGGGAGATACTGCATATTCTATACATATGAAGAACAAAAAGAAAGATTGCACTTTGCTTCCAAAAGGGAATAAGTAGGACATTCCTGTATTTTACTAATCTTATTTGCTTACTTTGGAAGTTTTAATTATAAGTGAAAATAGGTAAAATCGGTATCCTGAATTGTTTCATTTTTTTCTAACAATACGAAACTGAACAGTGTTGGCAATTGAGTTTTCACTTTCTCATGAATCCAGGTTTGGGCGTTTTAATTATCACAGTTTTTTTTGAAATCATCACATGTAAGGTTGAATTTATTTAGTCGAAAAGCATAGATATGATTGGTCATGTGATTGGAAGAATGACAGCTAGCCAAAGGAAAGAACAAGTCCACAGAATTCATTGTAAGTAATTTGAACTGAGTAATTTGAAACGATGATATGCTTCCGGGAAAATTAGCAAGTGATATTATGCCCAGGTATCATTATAAAAGTAGAATGAGTGAGAAGCAGCATCAGCCTGTGGTTTCCCGCAGGCCAGCAGTTAAATAGAAAAATGGCAAAATCAGAAGTGTGTTACTCTGTGTGTGGTGGGAAGGGTCGGGTTGAGAATAATGCTTTGGTTGTGTTGCAAAAGGAAAGAGAAGAATGTTGAGAATTGATTTATTCATCACTCTTTTATATAGTTTGAAGTTAGTGGCTTTTCTGTTACGTAGCTACCTTTGCATGAAAATTGATGTGGTTTGATGTTTCTTTTGATCCCGACTTGCGCTATCGAGTAGGGTTGTAGCACATGGCATGTAACCCTAACCTAGAGGTGATAGGGTAAATTATATATGCAATCAAGGTCAAATTATGTGATTTCTTATTTAGATTTTGTCAATTTTCACCTGTCAAACACCTTTTCGCCATTCACATCTCACTCATGTGTATTCTATACCTTTTATCTTTAATTATGCGAAACATATCGTAGTGGGCCAACCTGGATGATTCACTAATAGGAGCATCTCCGGACACTTACTATTTCATGTGAATTTGTATTTACCAAATTATATGCATTTATTATTGTTATACGTACGTATGTACAAATTCACATAAAATAGTAAGTGTCCGCAGATGCTCCCTTCACTAATGCATATTGACAAAAGTCAACTGATCGAAAATACAGATAAGTATTGTCAGGATAGGTATTATTAATGAAACCACAGGCTTTCATTTATTAAAACATCTTTCCAGATCAATTTTACCATGAAGCAAATTTTCTTTTTTTTTTTGGATTTAAAAAATTTGAAAACTAATTTTGGCTAAATTAATGAAGAGCACTGGTTAAATTAAGTTAATGCAGGCCAACTATCTACATGCGTTACTGGTATTTTTGGGGCTGCCCGCCCCATTTTTTTAACAAAAATTATAATAGGTTCTGGTTTTACAATATTAGTACTTTTCTAGCTCTGACCTAAAAGTTAGGTTTAGTTGACAAAAATAGGCTAGTTTCAATCCAACGTTTTCATTATGAGACAAAGATGAACAATGTTAAATACATTGGGTACAACAAGATCAATCTCATACTAAGATCTGATGTACGTTATGTAGGCATACTTAACAGTGTCAACTTTACAGGCTCGACTATATCTCTTAAGCAAGTTGCTCTTTTAAATTTGCTTTTACTTTTTTATAATTTTCATATAATATGAAATTTTAATAATTTTTTTAAATATATATATGCCAATAGTTATGAGTAACAATTATTTAGTACCAAACAATAACCCCATCCTGGAAGAGGCAGCCATTTTATCCAACAAAATTGTAGAGTTTGTGGCAATAGAAGAAACTATAATCAAAGTTATGATTGTAACAAAATTCAATCAAAATTTGATTTTGAACCATCAAATGCCAAGTCCAACAAAGACGACCTTGTCAAAGAGGTTGTTAAGATTACTTCTAACTATAATATTCAAGATGAAAATTATATAGATAGCATTGAACTTGGTCCAGAAAAAGAGGATGATGTTTTGATGCTACTTGCCAAAACCTATTATAACAAGACCAAATCTTTCTTCACAACATTTTTTGTAAAATAAAAGAGCAATTGGAACGACAGGGGCCCAGTGGCCGATTAACAATTTTTTGTTTTAAAGATCATTCAAAGCATATATATTGATAAATAAACTAACAAGCTTTTAACATTTGATATTTTCAAAATTAAGTTAATTCTGAAACTCTAATTATTTATTTATTTTGATTATCTATTGATTGATTTTAATAATAAATTATGCTATAATAATTAAAGTTAACTATTGTTAAGTATATGTATATGATACTATATAATAAATACATAAAAAATATTAATATCAAGAAATTTCTTATCATAAATAAAACTTTGCAATAAAAAATCAGAATCTAGCTGTTAATTTCTTATTTAGATTACTTAAAGTAGCATTTTATTAGCACTAGTTCCACTTCGATAACAATTGCCAATATATTTATTCCAAGAATGCCACCTATATCAACGAATAATAATCTACTGTAAACGTATTTGAAATTTCTGGCAAAATAACCTATTAGTAGATTTCTGAAACATTCAAATGCTTTTTTAACACCAGTTTTATAATAATAATTAGTAATGATACAATATTATACTGGATTACCAAAATATCAGGTTTCTTTCCAATTCAAACTTCATTCTATAATAACAAGCATTAGGCATTTCGCCAGCATAATTTATGACCTATCTCTGATAACAAATGAATATCTATCTAGATTCATTCTTTTCAACACCGATTCAATTTGATAACAATAGTCAATTTTCAACGTTTTATCAGCGTTATCAATCTCAGCAAATTTTTGATAACAAACGAATGGCTTATGTTCAACCTCTTCAACCTTAGTAACAACATCCAAAG